AAATATTTCAACGATCTGCTGTAATACAAGCTAAACCATCTTTTATAAGATACTTTGTGAAACACGATCTGAAAGGAATGTTGAAATATAAGGGTAGAAATTTGCACTCCCCCTCCCCTCACAGACCGTGACCGACATCTTAATTAATTAATTAATTAATTAAATAGCGATCACAGAGCACGACCAACGCCTTAATTATTTCGTGCCTCATTAATTAAGTATCCATCACAGACCGTGACCGACACTTTAACTAATTAACTTATTGGGGTCTAGTTAATTAATTACCCATTACGGACCCGATCGGAAAAGCATCATAGACTGATACACAGCATTACAACAGTCCTTCACAATGCGTGAGAGAAGCTTGGATTTCCAATTTTAGAGTGTCAGCAGCTCGATCGTGTTTCACATTTTAATCCCATCAAGGATTGTGCTAACAGCTTTTTTCTTACTTTTTCACAAAAGGGTATGATAGTGCTAAAAGTTGGTATTGGTTAACTTTCCATAGAAAGGTCATTAGAACCTAAAATTTTAGGGTTGATAGTTTGAGACACTGATGCGTTGAATGAGCAAAAAGAATCGAAAACAAAATTTTCATCGTATGCTTCGTATGCTTGATGTCCTCCTCATGGACGCTCTTTTATGAATCCGGCACATTATTTATTCGACGGAGAGATTCTTTCTCAAAGTATTTGATAAACTTGTTTTTTCTTTCTCTTGAAAGGATACCGCCGGATAAGATCGTAAATCTGCCACCCCCCTAGTTCTTTCTCTTACTAGTCTAGCTAGATAGAGCTTGAAATTCTGCACATTTTTGTATATTTTTTTTTCTTTTAATTCAATGCAAAAAAAAAATTTTGTTGATGGGACTAGCCTAGGGGTCTATACCACTTTTGGGTATACCGGGTGATGAGTATGATATCTAAAAATTTTTTTTCTGTAGACTCAATATGGAAATGAATAGTATAGATCGACGCAGTTTTTCATGCTCTACAAAATGACATATTGTTCAAATTTATCCATAACTTCTTTACCAATTAATACAGAGTTAAACAGATTCAATAAATACTATTCACATATGACATAGGTTACTTTTTTGATTTTTGTCGGATGTTGTTGTATTCTAAAATAAAAAGGGCGCCAAAAACCTTTATGACCAAAAACAGCACTGCCTCATGCTCTATAAATCTACATGATTCCGATAAAAAAATATTCTGTTCTGATGTCTATTTTTTTCAAAATATTGTAATACAGTGACCATTTTGAGAATGTTGTAAAACTCAATTTTGGCTACTTTTAATTATCAGAAACATATCAATCCATTTCGGATCATATACTAATCGATAGATTTCTTCGAGATCTGTCAGATGATGGTAAAATATCTAGAGAAAAAAGTGGCTAAGTGAGGCTAGTGGTCGATATAATGGGGACAGGGTTATATATTATAGGGTGTAGAGTGATGGTAGAGAACTTTTGTCTATGAGAAACATGTAGGTCCATTCTGAATTACATACTAATCGATAGATCTCGCCGAGATCTATCAGATTATGATAAAATATCTAGAGAAAAAAGTGAGTAAGTGAGTCTAGTGGTAGACACAATGATTGAATCTGTTTAACTCTGTATTAATTGGTAAAGAAGTTATGGATAAATTTGAACAATATGTCATTTTGTAGAGCATGAAAAACTGCGTCGATCTATACTATTCATTTCCATATTGAGTCTACAGAAAAAAAAATTTTAGATATCATACTCATCACCCGGTATACCCAAAAGTGGTATAGACCCCTAGGCTAGTCCCATCAACAAAAATTTTTTTTTGCATTGAATTAAAAGAAAAAAAAATATACAAAAATGTGCAGAATTTCAAGCTCTATCTAGCTAGACTAGTAAGAGAAAGAACTAGGGGGTGGCAGATTTACGATCTTATCCGGCGGTATCCTTTATCAATTTTTGCAAAGAAAAAGAAACAATATAAAACCTAAACATTAAAATAAACAAGGATTTAATTTCAATATAAATGATAGTAAGAAATTCAGTTTAATATAATAAACTTAACAATACCGAGTAACACTGGATCGAGGCGATTCAATGTGCCCATTGACTATACAAATACCTTCATTATTTGTGGTTATTGAGAGAAAATTGGAAAAGATTCTTGAAAACTACTGATTGGTACGAATAACACTATGTTTCTGAAGTTCAATGGTGGAAAAAATAATGATTCAAAAACAAATGGTTTTTCATTCCTCTCCACAGATAATTCGTTAGATTGCACGGAGCGTATTATAGAGGTCCTAGAAAATCTCTAGTCGACACGGACAACACTATGTTTCGCCCTTAGAATAGTGAAAAAAATCGTGTTCCAAAAAAGGCCAATTTCCCTGCGGACACACGCAATCAATTTCGAGCTTTAGACTCTGACTACGGTCAAGAGAATATTTTACTGATTTCTGTATCATATTCGTTTCTGACAGATAATAAACATGTTGAAAAATTGAAATAGTTCATTTGTTTAATAATTATTTTCTATTTTTAATTAACTAAGAAAGCTTGATGTTTAAATCATAACTGTTTTTTTTCAAAAACAGGTACCAAAACTACGATATTTTAGTTTAAAGACTTTTGTGTTTAATGATTTTGAATTTATTTATTTGAAATGGCTTCTCAACAATCTAAATCATATTCAAACATTAAAACTTCATCTCGCCAGTGACAAAATATATGGAACAGATCAAATGATATGGAAATCTGTTATTGATGCATATTTTATTTGTCAATATTGTTTGCCTGATATAGTAACGAATTTAATTCATTTTAACTTTTATATCTCTTCTCATTGTCCATTATTACCAACTGATATTCAAAAAATAACAAATTCATTTCAAATTCATCCTCTTTTTATTGACCATCATTGGACAAATGTTGAATGTGTTTATGATCCAATAAGATCATATCAACACATTTTCTCATCTACTGCGAAGAAAATACAACTTTTTGATTGCTTGACGTAAGACATTTGTTGTTTATAACAAAGTATATAATTTTCAACTTTCAGTAATCATACATATATTTTTCAATGGCCACATCTTCGACATATTTGGATTAATCTTCATCCATCACTTTATTTATTTCTTGAACGACTTAATGAAATATTTCCAAATGTTTTTTCGATCGCAGTTAATATGGGTAAGTACTTTTTTGCTCTTTTTGATGATTCTCTTAATAATTTGACTAAAGTTCAATAATGATTAAACAAAATAGAGAAACTAGAAAAACAATGCAATATAGTGAAAAATTCGTACCTGAAATGTCGAAGAAAAAGTTTTGTCTGTATAGAACAAACTTATACAAGAGAAAAAAGCAAATTTTCATACAACAATCAATGTAAATTTGTGTTTAACTAGTAAACTATTGTACAATAGAAAATACTAGGTTTTCTTTATAAAAAAAATCATATTGATTTAGAATGAATAAATTTTTTTTTTTTTTTTTTATAGAAACTTACAAAAGTTCACACGAATCTGACATTCAGATATCATTGACAAAGCCATTTCAAATGGGACTACGCAATGTGACTGATATTGAATTTCGAAATATTACACAAATTAAATTTGGTTCTTGCTTCGCTCGCATGTCTCGTAAGTGTCAATTTTCTCTTTCGTGAAACATAATCTAGCAAAAGACGTCCGAGTGTTGGATTAGAAATTTATACTCATCCCTGCTTACAGACCTTGAGAGAGACCATACCAACGGTCTATTGAAGATCGCGAGAGACATCGTAGCAGCGGGCTGTTATAGATCGTGATAGACGCAAATCAGGGAGACCATAATAGATCGTAACATATATCGAGGTATTACTATCTCCTTGCTTGTAAATCACATATCATGACAGGCATCTTGGTAAACTTTCTCTTTTAAGATGAGAATAGTTCGATAGTATTACATATTTTTATTTCATAGGAGTTAATATAACATCTTTTTCATAAAACTTGATAAAAATACAACGAAACATGTTCTCTCACTTTGATAGTTTTAACGATATCAATAGTATGCTTTCGAGTCAATTTACTGTGTGTTACTGTAGCAATGACATTTTATTTGTTCATTCAATTAAGGATAATTAGGTCAAATATAGACTGATTATATCTTTTTAGTACTTTTTAGTCTGTATTTTTTCAATATTTAAATAAGTCATATTGCCCAAGATAAAAAATATCCTAGAACGATTGGGTGAGACATAAGCACGAAATCTTTTCTGTTTTATGTTTTGATCATCATATACGAAATAGAAAAATTCTTAAGTATGTATTATTTTCATAATGAAAATTATACTTTTAGTTAAATCTTGTTGCATTGAGAACATAATATGTTCTCATTCAGATAACTAAATATCATTTATATCTAAGAAGGAAATTAATGTTTGTTTTGAAATACTAGATTTTTACGTGTGAATTCCACGTTTATCTATTCCGAATCTTTTACCTTCATTAGCGTCTACATTACTCTTATGCAAACGATAGAAATGATTTCTCGAAAAGTTAATCTTTAAATTTAGAGAATAAATTTATTTTATTATTAAGAAGAAGATTACTATTATACAGAGATAGGCAGCCCGTCTTCACCCTGGCTTCCAGAAGCCGCATTTTTTATAAACGGAGCCGGAACAGGACGGAAACCATGGAGCCTGGAGCCGAAGCTTGATGAACGATTTTGATTGAAGTCGAAGTCTAGAGTTATTTTTCGGCTTCGAATTTCTCATTCTATTTACATTGAGAGTCGAATGACAGTTATATTAATGATATTTTCCATATGTATTTGTTCTATTTCTCTGTTTACATGTATATGTATCAGAGCTCGAAACGGGACGGGGTGAGTTTTTGGCGGGGCGGGCCGGGATGGGGGGAAGTTTTACAAAAACTAGTTATTTCGATGTCATGTATATCTGAAAATTAATGTAATCCCTCATGACGGATATATTCGGTAGATTGAACAAAGGACCAGCTAATTTCTTTTTTCTCGAGATCTTTTACTTCCTTGAATATCTAGTGATTTTCATGGTCTCTGATAATCTGCAATATGTTGAAATCCAATCAATAATTAATTGTATATCTGTTGAGGACTTGTATATTGCATTTATGTGTAGTTCTATAGTTCATAATAAAGTAAAATCCTATTCTAACGAAGTGTCTATCAGATCCAATATATGATTTCATTTTGTTGAGAACCAGAACTACATTCTAAAGCTTTTGTTCTTTCCGCATTGGGTACAAATCTTTTGACAAAAAATGCTATTAAAGCTTTCATAAAGTGAATTCACTTTTGAAAAGGTTAATTTTTGAGTGCTCCTGTAGAGAACACAAATCATTTTGTTAGTTTTAAACCTTTTACTTCTAACAAACATCATCATTAGTCGTACAACGACGCTAGAAGCATATAGAATGAGATTCTCCATTTCAATGACAAAAAGCTTTTCCAACTTTCTGACCTTGTATAGAACGTCATATGATCTCAACAAATGTTTCGCGAATTGATCGGTGCCAGCTAAATATCAAAGTTTGCATCAAATCTTCTGCGAACTTGGTAAGTTTTCCAGTTTTTCATCAGTAAGAAAACTTATGTGAAAAACAAAATCGAAAATTTTGGACAATGAAGACCGTTCGACGTGCTAAGATTAAAACAATATCTCTAAAAAAGATTTCTAATTTTTAAAAAAGAGATAGAAGTGTACCGATCTTTTCTGACTGATCGTTTACATTAGAATAATGAGCCTGTTGTCTGTGCGCATTTCGACATTTTGTAATGGCAGTTAGTTATCAAAAACTATGCCTTTCTCTTTTCAGCTTGTCTTTAATTGCTTTGTCGACGTCAAAATTCAAGTAGATAAAAATATTTTAGCTGTATCATATGTTACAAGTGTTTCATGATGAAGACTTTAGCAAGTGGCTTGTTTTATTTTCATGGTTCTAAAATGGTTGCTAGTAGGCATGGGCGATTCCTGATAGGAATCGGGAATTCTGATTCTGATTCTGATGCCAAAAAAATTTATGTTGACGATTTCGATACGGTTCCAATCTTGACAGTAAAAATTTTCGAATCGGAAATATTTTTATGGAGGCTGATGGGTTTTTTCTTTAGCTTTCAGCACACAATGAAAAGAGTGAGTTAGACATATCTATGCTGTGTCAAAATTATAACTTTGACAAAAACTTGCATTAAAGTTACATAGAATCAACTAAATACTTATTAATTATCTAATAATTGATAATATCATAATGAAACTTAACCTTTGTAGTTAATTTTGCATTCTACTAGCGTAGTTATAATTTTTGGAAGATTCAATGTTTATTTTCAAACTATTCAGAAGGATTAAGAATTCCTCTGGGTTAATACTTTACATAATTTTTGCTCAACTTGACTACATTGAGTTCTTTATTTGATAAAAGATATTTAGAATATTATAATTCAGATTTAAATCATAACTACATACTTTAATTTTATCAAAGAAATAATTTTATTATCAAGAATGAATTAAAAGAGTTGAAAATCATGGTTTACCTCAAGTAGAACAAAAGCTATTTCATCTTTTAAAGATTTGTTGAATTTATCTGTCATAGTATATCATGTCTTGTGACGGCGTAAGTGAGAGTCGTAGGGAAGAAGAATCATTTCATTTGTCTCTTAATTATTTTTACTTTCATCTTTCAAAAGATATTCATCTTATATATATCCTCATGTAATATTGTACATTAAATTGAACACTAAGATCCTAGTAACACTTTGAAAGATTTTGAAAATAAATTCTTATAACTGCTAGAACTATGCACAGTAAATTTTCGCGTTAGCTGATGCTTTGATATTCAAGAGATCTTTCTTAAGATATAAAAATCAATAAATCTGGTCGAACAATAATTTTGTAAAATGTTAACGAAGATTAATACTTAATCTTTTTGAACAATCTTCAAATAAACTATTAATCTTTCAAATATTATAACTATGCTAGGAAAATGCAATATTAGCTATAAAAGTACATTTTCATTAAAATATCATCAACTATTGAGTAATTAATTAAATAATATTAGTCTGAAACCACTTCGATGCGACATATATATAAGCAATGATTCAATAAGCATAAAAAAAAGGTGCTTTTAGCATATAATATGTTAGATTCGATAATCAACATCACTAAGCTAAAAGTATCTTTCAATTACGTAATGGACGATTCCGAATCGAGATCGGCAATTCCAATTCTAATCCTAAAAAAATTCGCATTCCCACTCCCAGTACGATTCCGATTCTGGAAAAAGCCCACTTCGCCTGTGTCCAGTTGCTAACGTCAGCGAGTGAATAACTACATTATTTCCTCTTGGCGAACAACATGTGTGTTCTTCCTTATCGTTATTCTTTGCACACATATCCATCCATACCCAAGGCTCACAAAAAGTGTCCAATTAAAGTGATCTTCCGTTTAAAAAAAAATTTGTCGGGGCGAGGCGAAGCGATATTTTCGAGGCGGGGCGGGACGGGGATTGAAAAGTCCACCCTATTTCGGCCTCTGATATGTATCATTATATCTATCTCTTTTCTTTCTTTCTGTCAAGTATTTTTGTATTGTTTTCTTCTGATTTCTTCTTTATTTTCTCAAATGAAGCACCTGCTGACAATACTCCTATTTTCAAGAAAGCCAAAACTATTCATATCTCAGTTTGTTGGCCTTCCACTTTGTGTGTAATTGCAACATCAGTATCATTTGACCGTGTGCTTTCTATAAGTGGTCTCGTGATACGACTACATAGAGGATTTCTCACAAAAGGAATGTTAGCCAAATTAATACTTCTCAAGTACAAGTCTACTCTTCCACATTTGATAGCTTTTACTTGTTATTCATTTCCTTTCATGTTTTTGTGAAACATGAACTAAAAAGAAGTGTTGAAGTATAGGGGTAGAAATTTGCACCCACACCCTTCCCCCCGCCATAGACCGTGACTGACATCTTAATTAATTAATTAATGTCTAATTAATTAAATACCTATCACAGACCGTGATAGACAGCTGTGAGAATTATCACGGGGGTGAAAAATGCGGTCTGGACCATGACATACTCTGACAGGCAGCTTCAGGGACTATCAGCGCTTGTGTATAACTCAGATCCAGTTACAGTATCTGTGGAGTGTCTCCTTGTCGAAATTCTATGCTCTACAGTAAGGAATAATACAGACGCATACACAGGTATACATAAAAGACAGGTTTTTAGAGAATTAGTAACAATGGGTATATCATGTTTCACATTTTAATCCCGTTATGGATTGCGCTAACAGCTTTTTGTTACTTGAAAACGTCAAAAACCTGTTAAATGAAGAATCAAGGAAAACGATACTCTTTTGAATTCAAAGCCGACGTCGACGCCGGAATCGAAGTCGGATTTAAAAACACTCGGGAGAAACCGAAGTTCGATATACAAAATTACAGGTGGAACCGAAGCGCAGCTGAAGTTGGGAAGAGCCGGAACTGCCCATCCCTCTTATTATAAATAAAATTAAAATAAAAGTTTTTGTTTTCTAGTTGGACACGACGGATCAATAAATCGAAACGTAGCACGGGCAAAAGTACTTGCCCATCTTATTTCAATGTCTGTTCAACTTAAATATCTTCTAGTTGAAAATTTCGAATGGCTTTTGCATGTTGTACAATATGTAAGTGTTTATTTTGTAATCATAGTATTACTTTGAACTACTGAATAGACGAAAGTAATCATAATTGATCAGGTACTTCATAGAAAAATATTTGTAAACTTAGTAATGAAAAATTTCACATCTATGCTTTTGAACAAGAAACGTGTTACAAAGCTATGTTGAACTATAAAAGTAAGAAAAATGAAGTCATCTAACTTCAGACAGTTGGTATAGGCTAATTTTTCTCCACATATATCAAAATTAATACGATCTAGTATTTAGGAGAGAGTCCGCGAGAGAAAACTTCTACTACATCAGAAGGTCGTCAGAGAGAAGAATTTTTTCGATTATTTTTATTCGAACAGAATGTCTCACCAAACCATAGACAAATCTAAAATATTAGAACACTTAGTTTGCCTATGAAAATGCGAGCTAAAACAAGTTTGAGAGTCAATTTTGATCCCTAAAATGGTCATTTTTAAAGGTGTACTTAGTTTTTTGGTATTATCTCACAAACAGCTTGATCGTTTGAGCTCGAAGACGTCTTATTCGATAGAACACTATCTAGGCTATAAATGCGTTCTATTTGAGTAAATGATATGTAGGATGAAGAAAACGCTATGGGAGCATGAACCATACTGTGATCAACCCTTCCTAATAGCCACTCATTCCATCGCTGGAAGTCATAGATAGATTTTCTCCAGAAATCCGAAAAACCGATTTCAAATTCAGTAGTGTCAAACTTGAAAATTGAATTCAATTATTCAGCTATTCTACTATACAATTATTGAACAATAGAAATTTGTTCAAATATTCAGCTTTTCAACTATTCTTTCAAGAATGCTAGAAGAGTCACCTGGGGTACTAGTAGCATCGTTCAAAGAATTTTGCTTTGACCCTCACTCACACGTATACGGTTTTGCCCCTCATCCTCACCTGCCGATGTGGGGTTTTATCCTTACGTCCTCAGATGTTGCTAGTTCTTGAATATCGATATTTGAATAGTTGATTTCAAGTCTCATATATTACATATATGAGTTGTAGCTGTGATCAAGTCATGCCATATATTGAGGAAATCAGAAATATGGAAGATGAACGCGACGATTAGATAAATTTCATCGTCTCCTGAAAGATAATATTGAAAATGTACTATTTCTACAGGAGATCCTGGATTTCCTATTGAATGTGCATTTTTCTAAGTGATCATTAACTGGAAGTAATTTAAGAAAAGAATTTGAAAATCAACACACCTCCCGCGACAGATGAGCTTGGAAATATTCCATTTCTGAAACAGATAGCACATTTACAATTTCATCTCTAGAAAAGATGCGATCATCTTTTTTATACTGATCTCTTAATGAATCTACTATAGATACAATTTTCTGAACATGTGAAAGTACTACAATTAGTAGTATCTTGTCTTTATTTGCATATCATACTATGTAGACACATGAATAAAGCTAACTGTCGATTGAAGGGCAAAATTTATGGAGAATTTTTCATTGAAAATAAATGAGAAAATGAAATTGTTTAATTAAAAGCAAAACAAAATTCTTTTCGTATTCATTCTTAGAAAATAAAATTATTTCACCCTTTGTGGCCCACCGTACTAAATATAGTACGGTTTTTTCAAGCTTCATAATCTTTGAATCACTCGCGATCGGAAATATATATCGAGAAGCGATTTTCTCTACTACATAGAAGAGACTTTGATGAATATATTCATATAAGAATTCTAATCCTAATGAGGTCACTCAGGTAATAATTCTGATGGTATTTCGACTCACCTACTCTATTCTAAAAATAAGAAAGGTAGATAATGCTCTTTTGCGGTCCTTAAAATATTCCGGTTTTTCATGTTGAAATCAAGTTAGGAGTGGCTCCTATCGATATTCCTTAAGTTGATTTTGTGACAACTTTGAACAAAATTTTGACTGTCCTCTCTACTTCCCCACAAGGGAGAGCTTGACGATTTCCTTAAAAAATGGACATCGTACCATTTCCCATGGGATATTGCTGGTTCTGCCAATTTCTGGGATATCGCTTCTCTATGGTACATCCTCACCCTCACCTCAGGATATGGGTAGGATATTGCTCACATTTCTACAGGACATCGCTTTCTCCTAGAGGAAATAGATTCAGTAGAGGGAGGGCAAAGATTGTCCATGGGACATCGCTATTTCAGTAGGAGATAGCATTGATGTATGTCCCATAGTAATGAAAGCGACGTCCCATATGAATGAATTAGAAAAAACCCTTACCCTCATGTTAGTAATTCAATATTATACAAGAAAGAGCGATATCCCAAATATCGAGGGGGGGGGAGGGGGTAGCGATATCCTATGGGAAATGGTACGATATCCATTGTTTAGGGACATCGTCAACTGCTATCACAAGAATGTCTAAAATACTTCTTTACCATTCCCGTAGAGGAGTACAGGTATAGATCAAAAAATGAGTTTAAAGATTTTTTTAAAAATTTGATAAAAATATCACCAATACACACTATCCATATTAAATATGAAATCTCTGAGGAATTTCAACTATTTATTGAGCCATGGGTCGGAAAGGATTAATTCGTATCAAATATTTTGATAGAAAGGAAATGACAAAGATATTAAATGATTTTTAAATTCAATCGAAAAGTCAAACTTGAGAAAAAGATATTCAATATTAGTTCAACATATCAACTATTTTGGTTTTTTTTTTCTATGGTTTAAGATATGTTAATTGTTTGATGTATTAACTTTCATAGCTTTGAATAATTAATTTAATAATTCGTTTTATCTGTAGGCATCTGACGAACTCAGAGAAAAAGCTATGAACACTGTTCAATGTGCTGAAATGTGTATTCCAAGTTGTCATTATGGTTCAAATGAATTAATTCATATTGGTAAACAACTTGTACCGTTTTTGAGCAAATATATGCCTGATTTACTAACCTTACGTCTTTGGCGGCGAGACGATTTTCCTTGGACATCAAGTAAGTTTATTTTAAATAAAAAACAAAACGAAAATTGATATTAATAAAATTTTATATTAATATATCGAATTATTCTAAAATAAAGGAAAAACTACATAAAGCAGATGATTGATCGATAAACTTCATTATATGAAAAAATGACTTCAATAGAATGAGAGATGCAATAGAAAACGTGATTAATGAATCAAAAATAGATCAAAAGCTTTATGAAACAGTACTTTGTAAACGTTCAACATAATTTCAATCCGATTTATCTCAAACTTTAACTAATTATTCTTCTGTGTGCCATTTATCATTGGTCATAAAACTGGCTCATACCAGCGAGCAAAAACAGTACGAATGGTGTATCAAGGAACCAGCATATTTTTCGAAATTCTTAGTTTTGTGACTATAAAGGCATTTTGCAGCATAATTAAAGTGATATTTGCAATCAACTCGCTGAGTTGTGTCGAACTATATATCAAAGTAAATGCTTCATGAAAAAGGAATCGATTTTCATGTTCGATAGCATTCCGAAAATCTGTTTTTTCATATTTTGTAAACGATCAAAACAAATTAGGTTCAATTAATCGTAAAATTTCGCTGACTATTCTTCCATGTCTAGTCTATCATTAATCATAGCGTGACTGTGCATCGATGAGTACCGCCGATGTGATAAGTCTGTGAAAAAAACATGATTTTTGTCTCGAAGTTCCTTTTTTTTCCAAATAAGACATTATTGTAGAGCAAAGCCAATGTGATATTCAGAATCAGCTCACCGAACTACATCTAATCACACAACATAAAAGGCAATTTTTCTTCAAAAAAAATGCTTTGATCTTTCTACAAGCAAAGATTAAAAAATGAGTTATACTATTCTTCAAATTCTACAAACAGTTAACACCGAATTTAACTTAAAATTTTAGCTAATATTTCTCCAAATGTGATTTACAAGGAGTTATAGCACAGAATAGAGTTAGACGATGTCAACTGAATTAGTGGTACCCAAAAGCATTTTCTTTTATCCAAAGTTCCTGTATTTGTCCTTACAATAATATCTTAGCGCACAATGATATTGATATTCGAAACCACCGTCTGAAATTCCTTCGTTTGATATGTGACACAATTTATTTTCTAAGAAAGAGCGTGTTTCAGAAAATATACAAATAGTTTTCACAAAAGGAAATTTCTAACAACTAGTTTTCTTAAAAATAAGTTCCTAAGTGATGCATAATTATTTCCAAACAAATAAAATTCGTTTCCAATTATGAAAAATATCATACCATCGTACTGTGCTTTTGATTTTCGATTTATGAAGAAGTGACATACACGAGAATATCATTATTTGTTTAAATTTTACTCATATTGTGGTCATTATATTATGCGCAAATAAGAGAAGAAAACATTTATATTTCAAAACATCGTGATTGCAAAAGGTACATACGAGTCAGCTACGTATCAAATAAAAACTCATCTTTTCACTTTGAAAGTAACTTTGGAAACTAGGAATAGGTCAAAAACAACTTAAAGACATGAGTTTAAGATTTTCTAAATCAATATCGATCAATTTCAGAGTTAGCATCTGCAGAAACTTATAATGTTGAAGCTTTTTGAAATTTTTCAAGAAAATTTCGCTTAATATTTGTTCGTTAGACGAACGAGATAGACCGAGAATACCTGCCTAGCTGAGTATAATGACGAAAACGACTCGAACCGATGTATCAGTTAAGGGTGAGACGCAAAGGTGACATTAGATGATGTATTAGCTGAGAGTGAGGATTAATTTCTTTTAATTATGGCTGTGTTTTGGTGCGATTAAAGTATACTGTATTGTAACAATAAAATAAATCCAAGTAAATCGACTTTTTAAACAAATAAGAAAAATTATAAATTCCAGTGGCCCCTGATGCTAACTAACTGTGGAAGTATTTTACACTATAGTATCATAATATTTCTATCCAGTCGTGTGTAATTCATGTACCTTACGCAACATGCTTGCATCAACTGCGTTGAGGCATACTTATTAGGAAATATGCCCCTATCTTATAAGCTGTGTTATATACTGTAACTGTTAAGTATTTAGCTCTTGCGATGTTCTGATCATAAGAAATTGAGTTTATTTCACTAAGAGAAAGGTTGAAATTGTAAGATACTAAGTACGTCTAATGGAATTAGCTTCTATGAAATGTGTATTCGATAGTAACTGCCGTAATTTTTGCTTTGCGTACTCTGCTTACCTGGTGAAAATTTTACTGATAAAAATCGATTAAAATTTAAAAAATCTTATGGACATAATCAACATAATCAAAAATCTGATTGATATTTTTGATCATAATTGATTACCAAACACATAGATTTCATGTATGGTTTCTCAAGATAGCGATTGGTAATCTTTCAGACTGATAGTTCTTGCAAAAATATCCTTTCAACGAAAATTCTAGGCTTCAAATCTTATCGATTAAAGAGCCTAGAGTGAGTCGAAAATATTTTCGCTTGATTGATTTCGATAGAGTCGGTTACATTATGCCGAGGATGGCGTAGTGCTTCTATGCGTCTGATGCTCAGATATCATAAAGTTTGATTCTTTTCCCCCCAGCGCGGTGTCGTTTTGCCCAAGATGAACGATAATGGAAGAATAAGAATAGACAAACAAAACAAGGCGAAAATATGTCTATTACGTCATCGCTGCTTCGATATCGATAACTGCAACTGTTTTCTGCTCCACGTGTTTCTGTTTCTGTATGTTATCGTTATCTTATCTTTCGTAAGCGTTTGGAAAAATATTGTAAAAAGTCACCAAAACAACGATGAGCATCACGAAATAAATATGCATAATCAAAAAAAAAGATGCAGTCTGTTGCATTTTGAATAACTCACGACAGTTGTTATCTACCGAGGTCAGGTTTTCACGATTGAGAATATGACATTTGGGGTTATTCAAACATGTAAGAATCAAACGACTCGCTCAAATCTGCGAAGATTTTCCAGAAATCCTCTGGAAAATTAGCCGTGTGAGAACTCAGAATTTTAATTTTTTGGAGTGGATACGAATCTCCGTCATATGACTCGTATAAATCCATGTAGGATCGAGATGACTAACTTGTTCTTTCTAGAGACTAAGTGGGTTTTACAGAGACCCC